ATATATTCTTTAATTCTGCATAATTCTTACATATAAAAATTTTATAAATAAAATTTAATATTTTGAGAGGGATCAATAATTCCTCACAAATTTTGTCATAAAAAATTTTAAGCTATTTGTGACGGTATTATAGTATTGTGACACATTTTTGTGAGGGAATATTTATAGAGGAACTTAATCCGTTACTAATTTTATTTTTTTATTCAGTAACGAAAATTGTGACGGATCTTTTAGAGACAAAATTTAACCCGTCACAAAATTCGTCACTAATTTTATTTTTTTGTTAAGTGACAAAAATTGTGACGGATCTTTTAGAGACAAAATTTAATCCGTTACTAATTTTATTTTTTTATTCAGTACGAAAATTGTGACGGATCTTTTAGAGACAAAATTTAATCCGTCACTAATATTATTTTTTTATTCAGTGATGAAAATTGTGATGGATCTTTTAGAGACAAAATTTAATCCATCACAAACTTCAATAATAAATGGTAGTCCGTCACAAAAATTAAAATTCCCTCACAAAATTTGTCACTATTAGTGATGATATTTTGTCCATCATAAACATTCGTTACAAATATTAGTTTTTCTAGTAGTGAGCTATGTAGTTTTTTCTTTTTTATTTTTTATTTTTATCCCTTGGCCAAAGGGTTTCTTATATAGCCAACTAGGAGACAGAAACATAAGAGAGCTATCCGATGTGAGACTAAATTTTATGAAAATATAATCTTTTCCCAAGCACCATGCAGGACCTCCAGAGAACTCGTTAATTGTCGGATTGTGCTGGTTTTCTAATGGTATCCTCACAATATATTGATCTTCAATTTCAACATTTGAATCATTGCAATTAGGTCTGTAGTGAGAGATACTATCATAACAAAGACGCTAACTGGTATAGGGATTCATATTTTCCAGCTGCAATACGAGACCTCTAAAGAAATAATTAATCGTTGGATCAAGCTAAAATTTGATGATATCTTCTTAATACATTGATCTTTAACTTCAATGGTCGGATCATGAAAATTAAGTCTTTAGAGAGAGATATTTTCAAAAAAAGAAAAAAGCTTCCTAATACATTGATCTTTAATCTAAATGGTTGGATCTTACATGCTCTATTGGGCCCTTAGGGGCTGTACGTGCTATTTTTTCCAGTTGTAGTGCGAGGTTTCTAGAAAACTCCTTAACCGTTGGATCTTGCTGGAATTGTGATGATATCTTCTCAATACATTGATCTTTAATCTAAACGGTTGGATCGTTAAAATTAGTTTTGTAACGAGAGATATTATCATAACAAAATTGCTACCCAATGCGTTGGGCCCTTCAAGGGTTGTTTGTCTCGCTCTAGTAGACCTTTGTCCTTGGTTTGGGTGCCCGGGACGAAATTGGGTGTCTACACACATCAACTATAGATAAAATATTTAAAGAGTATGTAAGTATAGAGCAACTCTCACCTTACAAGTCCCACATCTCTTAGGAGATAAGATAATTAAAAAATAAGGAAAAAACTCAAGTTCCACATTGACTATAGATAAAATAATTAATTAGGAAATAAGACAATTAAAAAAATTAGAAAATTAAAGAATATATAAGTCAAGGACAATCTTCATCTTACAAATTCCAAATTGACTAGAGATAAGGTAATTAAATAGTATTATGAATTATTTCTTAAAATTTTAGTGGCAATAACAAAAAATATTAAATGTCAGTAAAAAATGTCACAAAAACTTATACATTTATAAGGGTCTTTACCAACATGCAGTATAATTATCGATAAATATTTTAACGACACTATATACAATGGCTAATGTGGAAATGTTGGTAAAAGATTTTGCAGTAATTTTTATTATCACTAAAAATCATATTAAATGTCACTTAAAGTCCATTTTGTTGTAGTGTTAACGCACTACTCGCTTCTTTGCTTTAGCAATATCTTTTGCTTATTCCAGTTGGTAGGCGCTGATACCACATCTTTCATAGAAGTTACATACTCTTTCTCAAATTTACACTACAAAAAGCCAAATCATAGACATCATCGGGGAGTTCAAAGCTTTTGATGTTGTAGAGTTTTTAATTCATTTTTAATTAGGAGTTGTAAAATGATATTTAGAAATTGAGTTATATTGAGATACAAAAGTAATAGGTTTTGTTATTTAGGAAAGCTTAAGGTTGTATGTACCAGATATTAGTATCAAAAGTGTCGAGGTTCAAAAATGTTGTGCAAAGAAAATATTATTGAAAGAACATAAAAAAAATAAAATTCAAAGAATTATTTTTTAAGTTTGGTTATTTTCTTTAACTCGTGTTTTTTATATTGTTTGGTTATAAGGAATTATACTTTTATGGGCTAAGATTTTATGAGATGTAAAGCATGGATTTTATGGAAAGATAGGAATTAATTGTTAGAGATGAGAAGATTTTTAAGCACTACTAGAAAAGTGTCATTTTCTTGCAAATTTTTCTGCAAAAAAATATTCGCAGAAATTTTTTGCGAATTTTCTTGCAAAAAAATATTCGTAGAAATTTTTTGCGAATTTATTTGCAAAAAATAATTTACAGATATTTCTTACAAATTTTGCTACAATTTTAATAATCATAGAAATTTTTTTTCTATGGTAAAAATTTGCAGAAAATATTGTAAGAATTTTATTTTGTTTCTTGCAAATTTTTTTGCAAAAATAAATTCGCAAGTAATGTTTACTAAATGGTAGAAAAATTTTGCAGGTAACTTTTCCTGCGAATTTTCCTGCAAATTTTAATTTGCAGGAAAAATAAAAAAAATATTTAAATTTATAAGTTTAATATTTTAAAAAAATTTCAAGTCCCACATCGATTGAAAATAAAGCAATTAAAGATATATAAGTTGGGGCAACACTTACCTTACAAGTTGATTTGTATGGTTGAGTGTTAGACTTATAATCTACAATCTTAGAATTTAAAAGATTATATATCACATGTTGGAGGCATGGAAACAAATGCTTCGGATGAATTCATTGTGAACATTTGAAAGTTGAAAAATTATTGATAGAATTTATAGTAATTTCTTTATTTTTTTCATAAAAAATATTCTTGCAAAATTTCTTGCAAATTTTATTTTGCAGGAAACTTTCCAGCAATTTTTTTTTGCAGGAAACTTTCCTGCGAATTTTTTTCGCAAGAAATTTCGCAGGAAAATTTCCTGCGAATTTTAAAATTCGCAAAAAAATAATATCTACAAAGGTATTACCTGCAGCTAAAATTTCGTAGAAAATTTTGCAGGAATAACATTTCCTACGAATTTTTATGAAAAATTCGTAGGAAAAGTTGCATGTAATAAGAGAAATTCTAGTAGTGAAGGAAAGGGCATGCAATTTTATTTTGACTTCATGAAAAAATAAGAAAAGAAAATTAGATTGAAACTTATGGGTGGGGATATAGTGAAAATAATTAGGAAGAAAATATGTCATGCTAGGTTTTGAAATAACATCCCCCATTCAAAGAAATGACTTGTAATTTTACTTTTGAGCTCATAGATTTGATTTTCTTTCGCCTATGTTTTGAAGACAGACTCAAATCCATGTTGAAGGCAAAAGGCTACTTCTAGTAGCTTCTTGTTACCATGTCTTTTACACGAGTCTGAGACCTTTGGACGTTAGTGACTTCCACTTATACTTGAATGCAAAGTAAAGAGGAAAAATTAAGAAAGAAATCCAAGAAGTCCATCACTACACCAAAAAAATGAAATAACGTCACAAAGTTTGCAGCGGTTTTAAAGAACTGCCTGCGGTTTTTTAATTTTGACTAAAACACATTAAAATTACGGCGGTTTGACCCAACGGACGCAATTTTTAATTTTTTTTCGACGGTTAATATAGAACCGCCGCAGGTAGTTTAAAAATTTCAGCTTACTCAAATGTTCCCTCCCATCTCGTCCACAAACCTAACCCTTAACAACATAATCCCCGTTTCTCTCGCTCCATTCTTCTTCTTCTCTATCGGTCCATTCTTCTTCTTCTCTCTTGCTCACGGTCACGCCTCTGCTCCTCAAGAGTGACGCCTCTAGCCTGCTGCATTGAACGTTGCTCACAAAGTGACTCCTTCTAACCACTTTTCAAGTTCAAATAGTAACATGAATTGCAAAACATCATTTTCTTTTAAAAAAGATGATCATTTGTTTTCAAAAATCCATGTCACGAAATAGACAAAGTTTAATTATCACTTCTCCAACATATGTTGAATCAAACACACTTGTTACCTCTGATGGGAATTGTAAAAACTCGAATTCTTATTCAAATAACTTCCAAATGAGAGTGATGGAGCTATGCAAGGGATCTAAAATGGCAATGCCCCTTGTTACCGTTTCAACATTTTTTTTTGTATAGCTATCCAATACAACAAATTAAAAGTGTTGCCATATTACAACCACCTAAAATTTTCGTAGACTTTAAGAACCCATCAAATCATCCCATCATTATTATATTAAATCATGACAGAAATATTAAATGATACTAACACGTATTTTAAACACATTAATTCTTTATTATTGACTAAAAATTATTAATAAAAAAAATACTAGTCTTCTTATTTAACAAGACTCATTGATTTTATTGCAATTTTTGATAAATTTAACCAATAATAAAGAATTATGTTACTAAAACTATTTTTTTATTTTTCCTAATAAGTAAATGAATAGTATTAATATCTTTTCAGCTTAACACGAGATGTGCAAAGATAAAAAGTATTGGATAAAATACATGTCTATGTTTAACACTTATCCCCATATACAAAGTTTGTTGATATAAAAATAAACAACTTTACAACTATAGGGCACAGCACAACAAAAGAGTAATGTTAACAACTGAGGAGTAAACAAATAAAGGGAAAATGTCTTTGTTGGGATGCTTTTCATGTACTCTAATTTGCAGAAAATGAAGGATACCTACTAATGCAACAATATATTTCACAAGCAAGATGGAAGAGTCAGGAAGTTTAAAGAAATCAGACTATGATATGCTCCCATCTCAATGTCTCACAATGGGAACATTTACGAGGCCTTAATAATCATTATAATCAAGCATCCAAGAGCCAACTTTTCATCAGCATTCTGACAACCAGTAAATTTGGGGTGATGGGTACCATTTTCTTCGTTTCCCTAGGAAACTAAATCAGACTTCTGGGAAGATAAAGGAATGGTTATTGTCTTTCCAAACAATTTTAACACAACATTCCTAGGTGTTTTTTCTGAAGCTGACTCACTGTTTAAGGCGCATGAATTAGAAGCCATGTTTCCATCCTCATGATCTACTTCCGCTTCTAGTTCCTTTGATTCATTTATGTCGGTTGACAAATTCTCAGCTTCCGCAGGTTTGGATTCATCATCGTTCAAGTTCATGGAAGATGAAGGCTCGTCTCCATTTGTTTTGGTGCCTGACTTATCACTACCAATGATTGTATCTGCCACCACAACACACCCATCATCTTTGTCATTCCTCCCACTATTTAAATCATTCACTGGAGATACATTATAGTCTGGTTTGTGGTGCATGAGATTTAATCCTGGCCATTTTTTACCCTTGATGAAAAATATCTTACACTGATCCTTGGACTTTGTCCCTACATGTTTTGCAATCATTGTAAAATCTTTTCCAAAAGATGATACAGCTTGAAGAAAGGTTGCCTTCTCCTCATTTGTCCAATCAGAATCATCTATTTCACCGCATCCCTCATCATAACGAGTTCCATGATCAATATCCTGAGTAACATCAGGCTGAGACATCACAGGTTGTTGGCATTGAATCCTCATTTTCAAGCACGGCTTGTCCCTGATAGCTTCCACGGGATCAACTGATCTTGTTATGACAGCCTTACTAGATGAACGAGAATCACATAAACTAACCAATGCATCAGCTGCAACTCTCTCTCTTTCATCTTGAAGAACATCAAGACTTGATCTCTCAGTGATCCTGTCACCACCTGTTAATTTTTTCATATTATCACATCCCTTCCAAAGACGGGGTTTTCTTGGACGTGTTCTTCGATTTCCTTGAGTGCGACGTGCCATCACTGGAGCTTCATTCAAAATCTGAAGTGAATCAACATTCTCCTTACGATTCCTTTTTTTACTTGATGCCATCAAGCTATTTTTGGTTGTACGCAACTTCCGGTACTTACTAGCCTTTGTTTTCTTTGTTTTCTCAAAAAAATCAGACTTATGATTTTTGTAGTAGAATTCAACACAGTCCGCAGTTGTCTTGTGGTCAAGGAAAGAAGAAATTTTTCGAAAATCTTTTCCAAATGCTACAAATTTCTCCAAGAAAATATTTCTCTCTTCAAATGTCCAAGGGTTGATCATAGATCTTTCTTTCTCAATAGTCAATGGATCATCTACCAGCCCATTACTAGATGTAAACATTGAAAATATTTTATCCCTTTTATCCAAAATTAATGTTGGCATCTTCAAGATGTTTTCGTTAACTTCATGATGGGATATTTCTGAAAGCAACTGACTTGTATAACTTATCATCTCAGATGTTGGAACCAAGCTTAGTTGTTTTCCCCCTGCAAAAACAGAAGCAAAGCAAGACAAAAGAGAAGTATATTTATTATGGCAATAAATTGTTAATTAAAATAAAATAATTATTAATTTAAAATGTCATGAATCAATATGAAACAAACAATAGTAGTCAATAGTAGAATGTAGTATGATATTGTTAGAATAAAACAACAATATTAGTGGATGAAATGTTTGAAAATAAATGATAGAAGTTTTTTTAAGAGGAAGAATTTATGTGTATATAATTGATAATTTCTTGATTTGACTTGATACAAAGTTTGATACATTACCTCCTATTTATATTAGTGATTTCTTCTAAATCAACGCTTAAGATTTTGTCATCACATCCTTAATCTAATGGTTACAAATGAGTTTCTAGAGTATTCCTTAAATACCTACGTACATATTCTAGAAAATTCTACATATCACCCTATAAATATCTTCTAAAAATATTTTTTTAAATTATGTTTCTAGATCTTGACCTTAGACTTCTAGAAATTGGCCTTTTAATTAGACAAATAAGGCCCAAAATCAAGTTTATGTTTCAATACTTCCCTTGAACTTGATTTTTTGTTACTCCAATGCTTCTCAACCTAGTGAAGTCTTCTTTCCTAAGTGGCTTAATGAAGATATCGACAACTTGATCATGAGTCTTCACATACTCCAAATGCACATCTTTTCTTGCGATACTTTCTAATGTAGTGGTACGACATATCAATATGGAAAACTAGTTTCTTAGATAAAGTTATTGTTGACTTGTTATCCACAAAAATCTTTGTCGAATCTTCTTGTGACAGGCTCAACTCATTTAGAAGGTTTTGAAACCAAACTACATTGAAAACACATGAAATAACAGCTACATACTCCGCTTCACATGTAGAACACAAAGTTAGTTGTGCTTTTGCAATCATCCACATCTCCATTCCAATCGCTATCATTATATCCAACAAGCTTGTATTCATCAAAAAATAGAATATAGTACAAGTCAAGGTTAGTTGTACCTTTGATATATAGAAGAATTCTTTTTATCACCTTCAATGCATGGTTATTGGGTGTTCCATGTAATGGCTAACAACTTCAACTACATAGAGAATATCAAGCCTTATGTATGTTAAAAACCGCAAACTTCCAATCAAACTCTTAAAGAGTGTTAGATCCACTCTTTCTCCTTCCTCATGATTTGATAGCTTGATTCTATATTTCATCGGCATGTCAACCGGATTAGATTCATTCATCTTGAACTTCTTAATTACCTTTATAGTATAATTTTCTTGAGTGATGAAAATGTCTTTATCTTTTTGCTTTACTTCAATGCCAAGGTAGTAAAGCATAAAATCTCTTTTTTTAAACTTGTCAAACATGCTTGGATTACTTCCTATAAAGATCAGATCATCTACATACAAGCACATAATTAAAACATCATTATTTTAGGCTTTGATATAGAGCGCGTTCTCATATGGACACTTGATGAAGTTTCTCTCATGTAGGTACTTGTCAATTCAAGCATTCTAAGCTCTTAAAGCTCGCTTTAACCCATAGAGTGTCTTTATTAAATTTAAAAACCTTGTCTTCTTTTTCCTTGACTTCATAGCCTTCAGGTTGTTCAACGTATACTTCTTTTTCGAGGACTCCATTAAGGAAGACAGATTTCACATTCATTTGATGTATCTTCCAATTGTTTTGATTTGCTAATAAAATAATAAGTATAACAATTTCTAACTAAACAATGAGAGCAAATACTTCATCATAGTTGATGCCAGTTCTTTGACTGTAGCCTTTTGTCACTAATCTTTCTTTACATCTTTCAACTTTTCTTTTAGTGTTCTTCTTTGCTTTGTACACTCACTTGACACCATTAGTCTTGTGCCCTTTTGGAAATGAAACTAACTCCAATGTGTGGTTCTTCTTGATAGCTTTGATTTTTTTATCCACAACATTTATCCAATTCTTGTTTTTTATGACTTCTTCAAAGTTCATAAGCTTTCAATCAACAAAAAAGAAAAAGAGAGTAAGATTATCTTGATTTTCAATTACCTTATATAGTTCTTGTAGACTCTTGAAGTGTGGAACTATTTCACTTGAGCTTTCATTTTCTAAAGAATTCACAATTGGGGAAGTTGGTGGGGTAGAAGGTTTCTCTTGCTTGGTGTATTCTTGATTAGTCTATACCATATTCTTCAAAATATGGAAAGAAGTGATCCCTAATCTCACTCTCCTTTTTTGAAAATGATGTCTCAACTAATGATTGTCTTCCCCATATTAGGATTGTAGAGCTTGTAGCATTTGGATTTGAAATCATAACCAATGAAGATATATTTCTCATTTTTGTCATCCAACTTGCTTCTTTTCTCATTTGGTATGTGCGCATGAGCAATACTTTCAAAGACTCGTAGATGCAAAATGTCAAGCTTCCTTCCACTCCATGCTTCTTGTGGAGTTTTTCCTTGTACACTTCTTGTTGGAGATTATTTCTTAAACCGGACAATTCACAGCTTTTGCCCAAAGCTCCTTTGGTAGTCTTTTGCTCTTCAACATGCTCCTAACCATATTTAGGATTATTCTATTCTTCCTTTTCTACCACCCTGTTTTGTTGGGAGATCTTGGAACTATTAAAGGTCATCGAATTCCATGATCTTCACAATATTTTTGAAATTCATTTGATATGAATTCTCTTCCACAGTCATATTTCATGGCTTTGATCTCAAAAACCACTTTCCTTCTCAACAAAAGTCTTGAACTACTTGAAATTCTCAAACACCCTTCTCTTATTTATGTTTCAAAAAATACACTCATGTTTTCTTGAAAAATCATCGATGAGGAGAAAGAAATAATTACTTTTACCAAGTGAGTTTGGCTCGATCAAACCACATATACATTTGTGTGTATGAGCTCCAAAAGCTTTTGAGCTCTTGAGTTAGACTCATTTGGAAAGCTTTTTTTAAATTGCTTTCCATGTAGACATCTTTCGCATGCTTGATTAGGGTGACTAATGCAAGATAATCATCTCATTATTCCATTTTAGAGAGCAAGTCTAATCCTTCAAAATTGAGATGCCCAAATCAAAGATGTCAAAGCCAAGATGCATCCTTGTAACACATCTTGAGACATTTTGCTGACAATGTTCTGAATGTTGAACACCAACATTCTATTTTTGAACATTGGTACCTCAGCAATCAAATTGCTCACATTATCTCTAATAGAAAGGTTATTGTTTTTTAAGCAAATATCATAACATTTCTTAAGAAGTTGTCATAGGCTTAAGATATTACTTTTCATATTTGACACACAATAAACATTTGAGATGAATTGGTGCTGACTATTCTTGAAATGGATAAGAATGTTGCATTTCCTTTTACTTTTACATTAGATTCATTTCCGAAAGTCATATTGTCGCTCACCTATTCATCAAGTTTAGGGTCGTGTTTATGACAAGGCAAAAGAGGCATTCGCCTTAGGTCCCTCCCACATCTTAGTTTTATTATTTTATTATATATATTGTTATAAAATATTTGTAGTAATTAGATTGCACATTTAGTTAAATATTAACTATTTTGATTATTATAAAAAAAATAGTTATTTTAATTTTGATTAGTTTATATAATATAATGTAAATCAAATTATTTTCTTTTATTCACAAATTATTTAAATAAATTCTAAAATATATAATCATTTTGGACTCTTATTTAAATTTAAATAGTTGGATATCTTGAAAGAGAAATTTTTAAAAAAATATTTATTAATCTTGAAATAAATTTTAGTTTTAGTGGTATTGATTTCATTTTGTAGTCTTATTTTTATCACTCTGAAGTTGAAGGCACCAAAAGAAATACTAACCAAAAAGAAATAAACACTCTTTTACAACCATCAAACATATTAAAAAATATTTTCCAAAATATATATATATATATATATATATATATAATATAATATAATATAATATAATATGTTATTAAGAAGTAGATAATAATATTTGTAATTTTATGAGAATTTTTCTAAAATTGACGGTTTGTAAGATTTAATTTGACATGAAGTCATCAACAATATTATAAAGTGTAATGTTAAAATTGTTTGATTATTAAATTTTAATTAACAAACTCACAATTAAAAAAAAATTGAAGAATGAAATAAAAATTATTAAATTATATTAAAATAATATAAGTTAAACGTAAAATTTTCTACTTAAGGCCCCAAAAATTCAAGACACGACCCTGATCAAGCTTTAGTTTCACTTTGTTCGAATAAAATTATATTTGTGGTATATTAGTGGATGAAATGTTTGGGAATAAAAGATAGAAGTTTGTTTTTTTTTTGGAAGAAGAGGTTATGTTTATGATTGATAATTTCTTCATTTGGCTTATACAAAGTTTGATACATTACCCCTTATTTATACTAGTGACTCTTCTTAAATCAACTGTTAGAATTTTACTAACATAACCATAATCTAATAATTACAAATAAGTTTCTAGAATATTCTTTAAATACCTATATATATATATATATATATATGAGTTAGGGTCCGTTGACACTGAGTGTAAGTCTAACCACTTATACCAAACTATCTTATGTCTTTAATAACTTTTTATATAATGTAAATTTAACTAATTCATTCGTTGAATCATGTGATATTATATTCAAGATTATGTATATCAAATTTCACATGAATATAACTTTTTTAGATATGTTTTTCAAAAATGAATATTTACACATATTTTAAATATCTTATTATATATTAAAATAAAAAAAATGTGATAAACTACTAAATAATTTTGGAATCATGTGAAATATATATATATATATTCTATAAAATTATAGATGTTACTCTATAAATATCTTCTAAAAAGATTTTTTAGATTATGTTTGTAGATCTTGATCTTAAATTTTTAGAAGGTTTAAATATGTTTTTAATTCCTTTAAAATTGACAAATTTTGATTTTAGTCCCTATAAAAAATTTTCTTTGTTTTTCATTCTTATAAAATTAAAATTATTATTTTTAGTCTCTATTTTTATGTGATCATTTTTTAACTATTTTTTATTTATTAAAAGGTTAAGTAACTAGCTTAAGTGTTACATACAACCATTATTGATATTATATTGATATTTAACACCTTTAAAAAACATTATAAGTCCTTAAAATAAATATTATTTATCCACCTTAAAATGATTATTACGAATTAAAAATAGTTGGTTTAGATTTTAAAGGGATGAAAATCAAAGTAAAATATTTTACAAGGATCAAATCAAAATTTAATCATTTTACAAGAAGCAAAAATAATGTTTATAAATTTTAAAAGGATGAAAAACAAAAAAAATTTTAGAGCGATCAAAATCATCAATTTTATAGAGGTTAAAAATATATTTAAACCTTTTTTAAAATTAAACTTTTAATTATATAATTAAGACAAAAAATTAAGCTTATATTCCAACAGATTTGACTTCCTCAAGAGACACAGTAATGGCATGACAAACGGACTAATGTAGTGAAAATAGAAGATACAATAAAAATCATGTTTTCTCACCCATTTTATAATGCACTTTTCTAGTATACACGAAGCTCTCAACTATGAAAATCATCTAACAGAGGTCTCAACTATGAAAATCATCTAACAGAGGTCTGCGAACTGTGAAGTGCATGAAATTGTGAAGGGTTATGTACACATTTCAACGTAACAACAAAATTTGAATGAAGTGAACAAAGACTTGCATGAAGGGTGTGAAGTACATGTGTGATTAAGAAATCAGTAGATGCCATGATGTCAGGGAGGAGTGGGTGAGCTAGAAACAACATTTGATAAAAGTTGGTTAATGCCCTCAAGTATTGGTTAAAATTAAAGGTTAGGTTTATTTTTTTTCTAAAAATCATCGAAAAATAATGCTTCTTTTATTAGAATTTACATATATTATTTTAGGGTGTACTACTGCTCCTCGGCACAACATTTTATCAATAATTACAATTCCATAAAAGGATAAATTTTATTAACTGAAAGAAATTAGAAAATTAATGAACAATAAATCCTCCATAGACAACCCAAAATAACAAAACTCAAACATGAAACCCCCAAAAACTTATAGCTTCCTCACATTCAAGCATTTTCCATTTATTTTTAACTTCATACCTATGTTCTCATTGGTCTCACTTTTAATGGAAGGTGTGTTAGATTTATTCATGAATAACTAAATAGTATGAATTATATGTGTATAGTTTAATTTCTAAATTATTTATCTCGTATCTATAATCTTCAATATTGTGGCCATCCCACTATCCATTATCTCGCCTTTGTGATTGATAAGTGTACAAATCAAGCAACACACTGACACATAGGATACGAATTTAAAGTATCAAAATTATCAAACAACAACGAAGCCTTATCTAACTTGGCGTGGTTGGTTAAATAGATCAAGAGACATCATTTGACTCTTTTAAAACCAAGTCATCAAGAATTTAAAACTATATATATATATATAT